TAAACTAACACGAGTCTCATTAAGTGTCCAGTTTAAGGGTATTACACAGAAACATATCAAGGGAACATGAATCAAATATGCACTTTTATTCATTTACAATAAACTCATAAAGTWCATCATTCTGATTGAAGCTAAGGGCATACAAAACTGTCTAACAGATATAACTTGTCAGTGTCTTAAGGAAAATACCATAGCCATTTCCTTAGCAACGATTGGTTCTTCAGTACCAAGTTTCCTAACTGTAGACTCCCAAATACTTCCTTTTGCATACAATTAGAACTGAGCTTTATTGTTGTATAGTGGAGACCCATGTTGCACTAGAATTATCCAAAGGGTTTCTACATATTCCATTGTATTTACATTCTATTGCCTTATAACAAATAACAATAACAATAAACCTTTTAGTTTGCAACTAACATTGAATTTTTTATGAGCAAAGATGTACTGACCTTTTCTATTAATTGGACATGTGGATAATCAATGCATTTTGTGAGTGATTACTTCATTAGGTGAAAATAACCTATGTTTTCATCTGTTTARCATAGGATAAATTCATTCAATAATGTTCTCAATGACACTTGTTTGAAAATGTTAAAATTTTTCAGGGAATGCATATGGTCATTGTAAGTCTGGTCCTAAGGTAAGCCTCAAGTTATATTTTCTTTTATACATTCTATTAAGTTTTTTTTTTTTTGGATTACAATGAAAATTGTAAAGTGGGACAGAAAGGGAGAAATGGAATCTTCTGTTTTCCAGATTTTATAGTTTCGCTTTCAACAGGAATCATGCAAAATAAGGAAAATCGTATTTTTTGCTATGTATTCCACTGTTTTAACATATAGTCAAAATTCTTATACTGGTCCAACAGCTGGTGGTCTCTAGTTGTCCCAAAGACGGTTGATTCTGCTCTGAGTGGATTTTATTTGAGCATCCACCTATGATGCCTAAAAATGGATACCAAGACAGACAAGTATATAGAAAACAAGGATACAACTCTCCATTTCCTATAATCCAGAAGAAAGATATGGATATGGTATCTATACAACATGCTTGTACCATTCTTTAATATCTAGTTTTTGTATTTTTGAATCTAACATCACTTCCCAAGAAAGTTTCTTGCTAAATTTAATTAAATTTCTAAAATATACTGGTTATTTAATGCTATGATTTGTTAATAGCATCAATGCTATAGAGCATTTCTAGAAGTGTCAATACAATATCTCATTCCATACCAAATAAAGTATCATTTCCAGCACCAGTATGCTAGACATTGGAAAGATTTCTGTGTACCATAGGTTTCGATTCCCAAAATCCAAACACATTATTTTATTTTCTTCTTATTTTTGTTTCGTTTTTTTTTTACATTATTTTCTGTTTTTCCCTCTTCTACCTTCTACTCTCCAAACAGGATATCCGAAAACTGTGGGCAGAAGACTGTAAACCTTCCCCTTCTTGGGAGTGTATCATTTCTATCTCTAGGAGTATTACCCTTTTGTATTGCATTTGCAGTTTTTTGGGCTGTAAAACAGCAGGCATCATATGCCTGGATTGGTCAAGATGTTCTTGTAAGTGACATGCACTATGCTTGTGTTTTTCTTTTATTTCTTCATTATCTTTTATAAGATGAATATTTACAGATGTTAATTGATGACTTTATCATAATGTATGTTTCCAACCTTTTATGCCATTTGCATTCTTCTAGGAGCAGTGCACCTACTTGTTTTTATAAAATAACAAAAATCTAATTTTAATGGATGATAAATAAGACATAGAGGAATAGAAGAATGAAAGAAGAAGGAAGAAGAGAGGAGATAGGAGAAACCGCTCCCACTATGGGTGGAATGGTGCAGCCCACTATCTTTTATAATAATTGATACAAAGGAGGAAATTACAATCATGCCCCTAATTAGGCAGAAGCAATAAACAGAAAAAATTAGGCCTATAGGTTCCACAAGCCCAATAAAATAAAGATCCGATTAAGGGTTAAAAGCCCCTACACAAATATCCTCCCAAAATTTAGATTATAATAGCAATATCCCTTTTGCTCAAATTCATATACTATGAATGCACATTCAATTGCCTTAAGATCAAATTTAGACCTATGAAGACCTATGAGGACCCAAAACATGAACAAAGTAAATGCAAGAAAGCACACATAAAGAAACATGGAACTTTTTGTACTAGAGTAAAGAACAGTGAAAGGAGTCTTAAGACCTAGCACCCTAAAGGGAACCTTATTAATGAAATATATAGCATGTATAGAATCATCCCAAAAATGAAGATGAAGATAACTACTAAACATTGCATAACAAGAAAAACCTAAATATGTGGCAATTTCTGTGCACAAGAACTACTACCCTATTTTGTTATGGAGTATATGCACAAGAACTCTAACGGAAAATTCCATTATCAAGAAAATATCTAGCAAGACCTGTCTCAATGTTTTCATTAGCTTCTTAGCGAAACATCTTAACATGAGTGTCAAACTATGTTAATATCATCTAGTTAAATTGACGAACCAAATGAGAGATTTCATTCTTAGATAGTGTACTATACCTAAGAAAAATATAAGTACTCATCAACAATGAAAGTAACTGTAACCTCTTATATAAGAGACACTATAGGGTCCCTACATGGACAAAAAAGGGAATGTTGCTTCCTATATTACTAAAAGATAAGAATTTCTACTATACTTTGATAATGAACACTCTTCATATTGTAAATTGGACAAATCAAACAAATTAAACAACAATGGAAATAAAACACTTGGACGGTGAAAGATAATTGACCCAATTGGATATGCCACAACATTCTTCGATCAATAGACTTTGCCAAAACACTATTCATAAAGCAAACTTTGACACAATGAAGAAATTGGAGCAGTGATGCCAAGAAGATACATGCCATCTATCTCATGGCCATACCCAATTGTCCTCTTTGAGTAGGCCTTGAGAAACACATTAATCAGGGAAGGTCAAGGAAGAATTCAGTTTTTCTTTTTTTTTTTTAAGGTTACTTGCAAGTGAAAATGGCAATAGAATAGGGTTTAAAGAAGAAGAAAAGAATAAGAGGAAGGACTAAGAAGAAAAGGTTTTATTAGAAGGCCACTTAATTAAATTCTGGCTTGCTTCATTAGGTTTAATACCAATATAAAAAATTTCATAAATACCCTTGATTGATATAAAAGACAAAAGAACAAATGTGCCCATAAATAGGTGCCCTTCAACACTCCCCCCCCCCCCAAAAAAAAAAAAAACAAAAAAAAAAGAAAGGTGATAATGTTATACATCCTTAGCTTGCACAAATTGTTTGTAGCTTCAATCAAGTGACTCCTTTGGTTAAGCAATCGGCTAGTTGAGAATCAAACTTAACGACAAATCTTGTCTTGTAGAAACTGTAATCAGTCCTACTCTAGATGTGAATTTAGTAAGAAAAAATTCAGAGAATAGAAGAAAAAGAAGAGAGAGAGAGAGAGAAATCAAAGAGAAGAGAATTCAGAAAAGAGTGTGGGTCAATAACACATTGCCGCCCCCACTCAACTATTTATATTAATAGTTTAAAGCATAGTAAATAAACAACAGCTGAAAACTAACTGAAATAACTAACTTACTGACACTAATAACATGCTAACAGCAACATAAATAACATATTATTGCTCTACAACTCTACACTCCCCTCAACTTGGGAGTAGATATCAATCATTCCCAACTTGCATAAATCTGTATCCAACTTCCTCTTTGGGACTGCCTCAGTGAAGTGATCAACAAGCTGTATGTCAGAGACAATATATGGAAGACACACTTCTTGAGAAGCAACTCTTTCTTTGGTAAAGTATCGATCCACTTCAATGTGCTTAGTTTTGTCATGTTGAACCGAATTGTGAGCAATGTTATTAGCGGCCTGGTTATCACAATATAACATTAGGGGCTTCTCATAAGCAATGCCCAGTTCCTCAAATAGGGATCTCATCCATAATTCTTCAGCCACACCATTTTCCATAGATCTGTGTTCTGCTTCAACACTGGAACAAACAACAACATTTTATTTCTTGCTTCTCCAAGAGACAAGATTTCCTCCTACAAAAGCACAATATCCACAAGTGGATCTCCTGTCATCAACACACCCTACCCAATCAGCACCTGTGTAAACTTCTATTTTCGTGTGACCATTATCTTTGAAGAGTATGCCTCTGCCTAGACATCTCTTCAGATAAGCAAGAATCCTCTCAACTACAAGAAGGTGAGTGGCTCTGGGGGAATACATACATTGGCTAACAACATTGGCTGCATAAGAAATGTTTGGTCGTGTGAGGCAAAGATAAAGGAGTTTCCCAACCAATCGTTGAAACATAACCTTGTCTTCAAGGGGCTCTCCACCTTCCGCATTTATCTTATGATTTTGTTCAATAGGTTTGTCAGCAGGTTTAACACCTAGCTTTCCAGTTTCTTCCAAAAGATCGAGAACGCACTTCCTTTGGGAGACAAAAATCACATGTTTAAACCGTGCTATCTCAATTCTCAAGAAATATCATAGTTCTCCCAAATCTTTGACCTCAAATTCTTGGTGAAGCTATTGCTTAAGAGAGTCAATCTCACGGGTATCACTCCCTGTCATCACAATATCATCCACATATACAACAAGTAGAGTCAAGGAGGAATCTATTCTCTTAATGAAAAGGATGTGATCTGATTGGGCTAACCGAATTTTTTAAGGGTCTGTCTAAATCCATCAAACCATGCTCTTGGAGACTATTTCAGTCCATATATATGGCTTTATTCAACTGGCAAACCTCCTTCCCTGCTTCTATACTATAGAATCCAAGAGGTAACTCCATATACACCTCCTATTGCAAATCACCATTGAGGAAGGCATTCTTTGCATCCATCTAAAACAATGGCTATGAGAAATTTGCTACAATGGATGGTAAAACTCTTATAGTATTCATTTTGGCTATTGGTGCAAAAGTCTTCAAATAGTTTATGCCATATGTCTGTTTAAACCCCTTTGCAAGTAATTTGCGTTATATCTTTCAATAGAGCCATTAGCATTATGTTTCAATGTAAACACCCATCTACACCCAACCAGTTTCTTCCCTTTAGGCTGATCAACTAACTCCCATGTCTTGTTCTTTAGAAGAGCATCCATCTCTATCTTCATTGCATCCTTCCACTCAAGTACTAACAAGGTTTCTTGCACTGTTCTAGGAATGGAAATAACAACAATAGATGACAAAAAAGACTTATGAAGGAGACAAATGATCATAAGACAAAAACTAGGAAATACAATGAGTTGTAGATGAGGTACAACAATGATTCCCTTTACGGACTGCAATTGGAAGATCAAGATCATCCAAAGGATGAGGAAAAAGTTCAACAATGGGAGGTATGGAGGTATTGAATCTGTAGTGGGAGATAAAGGAAGTGTGGTACCTAGATCTAGAGCCATAGAGGAAATTGGAGTTGGCCTGGACTATTGATGACCGAAATCAACCTGCCTCCACCGCCTATGATACACCCTCAAATCCCAGCATCTTTGACAACCCTCCTCACTACATTCCTCTGAGAAGAAACTCTATGATAGTAGGATACATCCTCAAAGAATGTGGCATCCATAGAAACAAACCATTTCAAAGAAATAGCTTCATAGCAGCAATATCCTTTTTGATTTTGTGCATACCTAAGAAAAATACAATTTGAGGCTTTAGGATCAAATTTGGAGTGATGAGGCCCAAGAATCTGAACAAAGCAAGTACATCCGGGATATAATAGGTTAAATGGAATTTTCATCTCTAGCACCTGTGAAGGAACTCGATTGATGAGGTACACAGTAATATGGATAGCACCCCCCCAAAAACGTGTGGGAACATTAGAGTTCAGCATAATGTTTCTTGCCACATCTAATATATGCCTATTTTTTCTCTCAGCAACCCCATCTTGCTGAGGTGTATGGGGATAGGTGCTCTAATGGATAACCCCATGGTCAAGGAAATATGAAGCCAATGGTTTTGCAAAATACTCTTTAGCATTATAGGACCTGAAAATTTTGATTTTGATCCCAAATTGGGTCAAAACCATTTGATGGAAAATCCGAGTCAGGGTAGGGATTTCATCTTGAGAGCGCATAAGATAAACCCATAAGAAACAAATGTAGTCATCATAAAACAAAAAAAAAATATTTGTATCCCCCATAGCAGTAATTTGAATATGAGATATGGCCCCCAAACATCAGTATGCACAGTTTCAAAAGCAATACTACTTTTATTGCTTAAAGAATAGGTTGTTCTACAGTGCTTTGTAAGTTCGCAACTTTTACATTTTAAACTAGACATTTGAACTGAATTAAACAAACTAGGAAATAAACTCTTCAAAGACCTAAATGGCAAATGACCAAACCAATTATGCCAAAGCATAACTTGTCTCACAAATTGAGAAACTAATGACCTCCCCACTTTTTTTTTTCTTCCCCATGTGAATGCCCTCCAAGCAGGTAGATTCCATTTGTCTCATGGCCAATCCCAATCACCTTCCTTGTCTCCATATCCTGAAAAACACACTGATCAGGAAAG